AAGTTATATATTTTGAAGTATATCCAGTAAATTTTTAATAACCATTTATTAATCTATAAAAATTATTTAATAGCATACTTTATTACATAGGAAAATTATTGACTCTCTTGACTCTCTCTCTCTCTCTCTCTATATATATATGTAAATATATAAAGAAATATTTTTTTATTATAATATAAGAATTATAAATTATGTAAGGAACCGCAGATAGTTTCATTTGAAAACAGCTGCACTAGATAGCATCTACTGTATAAAAAATTCAAAAGGAAATTTTATAGAAAGAAAAAAAAAAGTTGTTTACTTAGCTCACAAATTTATTATCTTGTTCTTGTACCAAATTCAGGGTAAACAGAAACACACACTGATCTCACAATTCCCCAAAGAATCAGAGAAATAGTTACAGCTTTCCCCTCTACCTAATTTATTATAATTAAGGAAAGACATAAAGGAGAAGCAAATAGATGGAATAGATACTGAAGATGAACGATACCTAAACTGAATATTACTATGTTTTAACTTCCAAAAAGTATAATTATATATATACAATGAACGAAGTAAATGAAATCCGTTTAATTTTATCTTTTCTCTTTTTCTTTTAATCATTATTTTTAAAGCTTAACAGAGATTAATTATAGTAGTAATAAAATGTTTAAAAATTTAGTTATAATTGCTTTATTCTTTTAATATTTAATTTATGTAATATTTTAATTTTTAAACTTTACAATAATTTATTTTGAATATATATATATATTTTTTTTTTTTCTTTAAAACAATGAATTCTATTTTTAGAAACTTTGAAATCGAAGACAATAAATACATATTTTAATAATCTATAACGATAAAAACGTTCAACAAATGGTTATTATTATCGATTTTTTCATTAGGTAATGATATTTAGATTTTCTTTTTTATTTACAGTAAAATCTCAAGGGATGTTTCCACTTCATGAAAATTTAACTTTCAATTTTTTTTTTATGGCTAAGTGATAAAAAAATACACCAGTAAAAAAAATGGGGACGATTTTCACATGTGATGTTCTTTCAACTTTATTGTGAGATAAAATAGCGGTACAGTTGTCATTGATCTTGCCGGTGGCATTTATAAAATAGACGTATAATGGGACAACGGTAAGTACAGAGATACCTTTTAATATTTTCTTTATAAAATACTGTAAGTAATTACGTTGAAAATCTTTACATTTTCTCCATTGTGAGCTAAATAATATTCATGTACTTGGTTGATATTCAGTTTAAAATTCTCTAGTGTAAATAACTTAGCGAAATACTTTTGATTAAATATTCAAAATGGTTAAAAAATAATAAGTATATATTAATTTTATAAATGGATTTAGGAAGTGAGTGAGTTTAACTATTGATTATCTTTCAATGATTACTGAAAATAAATTGTAATTTCCTGTGTCTTCACAGAAATTAATTTTTCTTTTTTTTTTTTTGGTATATCGATTTTCTTCTTTTCGCCATTTACTTAACTTACTTAAAGAGAGAAATACATCTAAAAAAAGGCGCAAAACAGATTGCATATATTTAAATTCAAAATCATTTGTTCATATAAAAATACTAAAAGTTATATTAAGTAAATTTAAGAAATTTTTAATAAAATTACTCGAAACAACAAAGATTTCTAGTACCCACTTATCTAGAACACTTCGTCTTTTAACCAAGCATCATCAAATAATGTAAATTTAGTAAGAGAATAAAAATGATTATGCTCTATCGAGTGTACGGATATAAATAAACCGATAAAATTTATGTTATTGTATAATATTTCCATACGAATTAACAAAGTTATATAATAGTAAACAAGTAAATTAATGAGGAAAAAGGGGATCCAATCTGTGGGTTTGCTTTATGGATCCGTGAACATCAAACGGAATAATTGGTTAATTTGGTGTTATAATACGCATTTTATGCAAATTTTCTCATTTTCTTAACAAAACAACTTCCAGCTATTTATGTTTGTTCCTTTTTTTATATATGTGTATATATAAATTACAAGAGTTTTATTTAATTGAAAAGGACTTCTGCAAAAGAGAAATCGATCGAGACATTAAAAGTGACCTCTGGCAAATCTAAACTCCATAATATAACATTTTTTTTTTCTTTTGAAGATGTTATCAGTAAAATGCATACCTTAGGATTTTTTTAAGTATAAATTCTAAGATTTAAGTACATAAATGCATTAANATGTATAAATTTTTTCTTTTTTTTCATGCAACTCACTCTCTTTGTAATTTCTTCAGAAAATAACAAATTCCATTCTGAATTAGCCAAAGAAGTAAAAGCATTGTTTACATTCCTAAACACATGATCAGATTCGAAATGTTGTCTTGGTTGCACACAGCAATAAAACGTGATTTAAGTCGACGTTTGAAACATCCCGTATAAAAGTCTTATAAAAGATCTTTTATTGCCTATATTTAAAGATAAAAGCACGTTTCTCTACTAATGTATTAGTTTTTTTCTTTTTTTTTCCTATTGACCAAATGTGAACTCTTAAGATTATTTGTCTCGAATATATATCATGCACTTTAATTTAATTTTTAATTAANTACATCAGTTGATGTTGATCTCAGAATTTTAGTGGTAAATTACCTTGGACATGTTACTCTTACAAAAGGTAAGAAAAATTTCACTTAAAAATTATTTAACTACAATTTTAATCTTTTGATAATTTATTATTTATAGCTTTATTGCCATCTCTGATAAAGCAAAATAATGGACACATCATTGCCATTAGCAGTATCCAAGGGAAAATAGCTATTCCTTTCCGTTCAGCATGTAAATGATTTTTTTACTTGTAAAATAAGGTGCATTGCAAAAAATTTAAGGCCATCTCAACTTTTTAGAATAATAAATTTTTTAAAAAAACTAGTGACAGGAATAAATGTAGATGTAAAAGAATTACTTATTGTATTTACAATGAAAAATAAAAATAAATTTATATTCAAAAAATCAAAAATAATGGTGTTGCAAAAATATAAGGCCTGTTGCATATTTGACCAAAAAAAATCACTATTACTTATAATTTAATAATTATAAAGAAATGGCAGTACACTGTAAATGCAAACAGAGGCATAATTGAATTTATATCACCATTAATTGTTGTGATATTTCTACCCATTTCAAAAATTACTTAAGTCCTAAACTGAGTGGGCTGAATCAGGGCACTATATCAGGCTGGAAGTTCTGCTAGAACTATTGCAAACCAGCTGAAGAGATCTTGTCATGTTGTAGCCAATTATATTAAATTTAGTGTGCAATATAAAAAGAAAAATAAATAGGATGGCCTAAGTTGACAAGAAATCAGCAATTATCTGGGAAATAATGATGACAAGAACATAATTTGGTGAAATAGCTGATGCTAGGCCTGATGATAAAGTTCCAAAATCCACTGTCCCAGATGGTAAAATCAACAAAACATATAGTGCTGCTTTTCTGTTTTTATATATATACTATATCTAAAACAACACCAACAAAAAAGACTGATATGGACCAAAGAACAAATGTCACGGACTTCAACATGGTGTAAAGTTATTTGGACTGATAAAAAAAAAGACCAATTTGGATGGTCCCAACAGTTGGCAATTTTATTGGCACAATCTTGGGAGAGAGGAGTGTTTGTTTACTAAGCATCAGCAAGAAGGGACTCAGTCATAATCTGGGCAGGTTTTAGATTGTCTGGAAATCAATTTAGCATTCATAAATGGCTAAGTGAAGGCAGTTGAGTATCAGAATCTCTTGGATATATATCTTCTGCCATTTGGAGAAAAAAAGGTGGTCCATTCTCACAATTGCAACAAGATAATGCATCAATCCACACTGCAAACTTCATTTATCAATAATTACTGGATAATGGCATTCAGGTCATGGATTGGCTTTTCTATTCCTGTGATTTGAATCCCATAGAAAATCTATGGAGTCTAATAGCTAAGGATATGTATGCAGGAGAAAACAATACCACAGTATTGAACAACTCAAAGCTGCAATTGTAATTGAATAAGAAAAAATTGATTTAAATATACTACAGAATCTTGTCAACTCTACATAAGATAAAGTTAACAAGGTTATTTTGAAAAATAGTACTTTCACTTGCTATTAAATGCCACGGGCATTATATTTTTGCAATGCCATAATTTTTGAATAAAAAAATTTATATTTTTATTTTGTAAATAGAATAGATAATTCTTTTACATCTATATTTATTCCTGTTGCTAATTTTTTAAGTGTAATAAAACTTTATTATTCCAAAAAAAATTGGGGTGGCCTTATTTTTTACAATGCATATTAATAATAGATATGTGTGTTACTTTAATTTTTAAAAAAATTTATTTAGATTCTGCTTCAAAACATGCACTCCAAGCATTTTTTGATGTACTCAGATCAGAACTTGGTGAAACCAACATACATGTTTGTATTGTTAGCCCAGGTTACATTAAAACTAACTTATCCATAAATGCCCTCACTGATACTGGATCAACTTATGGAGGTAGTAAATATGACTATTGAAAAATGTCAGATTATAAAATATTTTTGAAATACTGTAAAATGTCATTTGGAAAAAGAAATAAGCTTTCTTTTTTTATTTTATAGTTATGGATAAAACTACAAGTACAGGAATGGATCCAAATGTTGTTGCAGATGCCATTATAGATGCAGTGCTACTTAGAAAAAATGAATTAATTCTCTCATCACTATTACCTCAATTAGCACTACTGATAAGAATAATGTGGCCATCATTGTACTTTTACTTGATGCAAAAGAGAGCATATCGCCTTCGTAATGAAAAGAAATTTGACTAGAATAGTGATTTCTTGCAAATAAAGCCACTCCACCTTTGGTTAGAAAAAAGTAAAAAAATAAAATATGGGGCCATTTGTTCTATGAATAAGGAATTATTAATCATAATGGTTATGTTAAAATAAAACTGTGTTGTTGTTAATAATGATTTCACTATATATTCACCATTGTAATAAGTGAATGTTAAAATTTATTTTTAAATAAAACTTACAACTTTATGACTTTAATCAAGATTTATTGCAGGAAAATACAGATTATACGTACCTTTTACTTGAATTATTTACAGTTTTTTTTTCTATCTTTATTTTAAACATTTTGAAAGTAATTTATAACATTTCTCGAGGAAATTCTTTCATTAAAACTTAGTTATCACTCAATTTTAATCTACACGAATGCATTAATTTTTTAATGCGATAATCCTATTTATTTTTCCCCCCTGTAAAGTCAATATTTTTCAAATTTTATCAGATGAAAACTAAATTCTTTTAACGTTTAAAAATATAATACATTTTCATTTATGTTTTTAAACTTTTACAAATTGATTAAATAAAGAGATAATTAAAATTCTGCGACGTTATCACTTTAAAATTTTTTTTAAAAAAATTGATAAGAAGATTATTTAAGGATTCTTTATTTAAATAAAATACATTTATATAAATCTTGAATTTTTCTGAAATTTTCTAAACTTACTTGAGTGATGGTTATCCCGAGATTATCATCAATCCAATACTTATACATTGAAGATTAGTGAAGATAAATTAATGTCATCTGCTTATGTTGAAGCTTAAAATATTGTATTATTATTATTACTTTTTATCGTTCTATATTTTAAATAAAGGAAAAAAAATAAGAATATGTTAAGTGAATTGTTCTTTAGATAAGTCCTTGAATATTGTACAGGAGTGTTGATATTTTTAAGCAAGCGTATTTCTGTTAGAATTGAATTTTACTTAATTTAACTTCAGAATTGAAATATTTAAAATTTATTTTATATGTATAGACTATAATTAACATAATTTGTAAGTATTTAAGCAATATATATTTATATATAAAGAACATAATCTGTAAGTTGTAATATTAAAAATGGCTTCTGGCATTAGTAGTAGTGTATTTATAACATATAAGTATATTTATATATAGGTAAATGCTAGTATGCATATATACATGTATACACTATATTGTTGTGCTCTTTATATATTCAATATAATTAATGTTTTTTTAATTATCTGTCATACAGACTCACACACACATACACACACTTAAACACACTACAATATATATTTGTTTTCCCTTAATTATTTATATATATTTCTATAAAATATCCTACATTTTATATAAATTAATAAGAAATAAATTAATGTTTTTGAAATATCTTTTATTCATTTTCTAAAAATATTTAGTAAAAAGATTAAATTGCTTCAGATATATCAAATTATATTATAAAAACACGTTTTTTTAAAAAAAATAATTAATTAATTATATTCTTGATTTCTTGTAACTTAATAAACAAATTAATATTGTAAATTATATGTCCATATTTTTGCAAATATAGACTATTGAAGATTTCTATTCTAAATTTCAAACTTCCTATTTTCAATATAATAATTAATGAAGTTCACAACTAAATTTAAGTGGGTGTGATTATAATTTTAATTAATTTATTAATTAATTATGAGAACTTTACTACATGAGTGATTAATAAAGTGATATAAATATCAAGGCTAGATTTATGATATATTGATATATATATAGATATCATATTATCTTTTAATTTAAACAATTATTTTTATTTTATTACTAAAATATTTACTTTATATGCAAATTATCATAAATATTACTATAAAAAAAATAATTATGTATAAAAGTTAATAATTATAAAAAATAATTTAGAATATTTGTCAATAGTAATCACTGATTTTTGTATTTTTTTTATATTTAAACTTTGTAAAAAGTAGGAAAAAAATCAGTTATAAGGTCATTAAATATGAAGAACGTTGAAGTTTCTTTGCTAAATAGTTAAAATAATTTTTATCTAAGTGATATTTTTATTATTACAATTTTATTTTCGAAAATGTGGCAAGATAAAATTCTCACATATTTCAATGTTGTAAATACCCTAGTAAAAATAAATAAAAGAAAAGAAAATTCGCAGTATTTTTAAAAGTAGTGAGATGACAGATATGAGTCAACACTAGTGATTTACTATATAGTTTCGTATTACAAGAATTTGATGTAGAAATATAAAGTATCACATTCGAGCATAAAACGAGTCGTTGAAGTGGATGAGTTATGCAGAAATGAGGCACTGGCTAGCCTTGCAATTCGATTTTGAGATGTAATTGAACTCCGAATCCAGAAAAAGAACCACCAATTATACCCCGAGGGGCCAGGATCATAAAGACAAAATTAGACCATAGAATAAACTATTTGGAGGACCCACTTTCCCTGTCTAGTGTTTAAATTCGCGGTTTAGAAGAACTATTGCCATGCTTAAGATCGTTAAGTATACAAACAACGGATCGGTAGGTGGTGTTGGAATCTTCTACATCTGTCGAAGGGGTTCTTTTAGGACGTGGAAAGTTTATTGCTGATGGACGATAGCAACTTACAAAGCGGGTGGGTGATGAGCTGTCAAGTTAAAATTCGCCATAAAACTCTTTGACTTCCCCCAACCATGTGAGTCAGGGGTTTTTGATTCCTTCTAAGCTATACTAGTTGATATACAATAGTCAATCTTCCGTTATGGTGTATAATCAGAGTTACCCCAGTGATGCTGCAGAGCGGGAAGACTAACAAGCGTGAACTGTGACACCGTATGGTGCAAAATCGCTCCTACAATACTACAGTGGCAAGATAATTGCCAAACGCACCGATGGTCATTATTACTAGCTACAGACTAGAGAAATGCTACCGTACACAAAATACATTAACTGTCAGTGTTTGTCTGACATAACTCGTGATTTATTACTGAACTACTTCCATATTGGCCACGCATACTTTCATCCACTTGTATAATCACATAACTCTAACAAACAAAGGAAAAAGACGTATTAAATATATCTAAATGGTAACTAGACGAATGTCACGATATACAATGTTACGTATTTTTCATTAATTAATTTTTTTTCTCGTGTTTCTAATTTTTTTATAATTATTTTTAGTGTTTTTACTATTACTCTTAATGATAATAAATGACTTTAGTTGGTTGAAATAAAAATTATTAATGGGAAACTAAACGAACAATACGTGTTAAAGTTCATCTCTCCTTTCAACATGCATCATTACCAAGTAAAGCGATTCTCTGGAACTTTACTTGTCATCTAACTTTCTAACCTACTAACGAGGCAGAAAGTTAAGAATTTCCAAGAACAGTTTCGGCTCGAAATGCTTCTTGTCGTAGAGATAAGAGAAGGCGAGAAAAGCAGTCTGACGGTCGACTGAATGGGATTTTGGATAAAAATACCTCACTGTGTTGAACTATCAATGAAGAGCGGGTCCTGCCACTCTACATTCTTCTAGATAAGCTACGAAAGAAGATACAGCTGAGTACCTTGCCCAAAGTTAGAAATCTCTAATGACGTCACAAAATAGCATAACTAGTAATTAAGCCAAGTGCCTTCCCATCTCAAGCAATAAATGTAAATCAAAAGCAGAATGAATAACATTAACGATACAAATTCCCTAATTTGTAAACTTAATTAACTAAATATAAGCTTATTAATATATGAGAATATATATATACACTAAAAAAGAATTCTATTAAATTTGTTATTTTGCTTCTGTATTAGGAGAATGGAAAATGTTTTATTAAGGAAATTCTCACTTATATATATATACATATTTTTTTTTATTTAAATGAATATATATATGTAAATATTTTTATATTTGTATTATTGTGTAATATTTATTTTAATGTTAAAATTGTTCGAGCGCAAAATTTTTAAAAAAATATATATATAATGTAATTTTTTATAACGTCATTTTGAGTTGCAAACTTTACAAAAATGATGCAAAGTAAAATGGCTCGAAAAAAATTCTTTGAAATAGCAACATTATGTATCCTATACAAGAAAATGATTTTTCCATTTATCTTTGTTTACAAATGCAGCAGCTGTAGCTAATCTTAATACATTTTAACTTTGCTACAATCCTAAGCAATTTCCTTTTTTTTTTCTTTAAAAAATAAAATTAATAATTTATTTAACTTATTAAATAATAATAATAATAATTTTTAATGCTATAGTTTGTTTATTTCGTTCAGTAATTTTTAATTGACAGTTTTACGGTCGTTATTGTAGGTGTTGAATTTCATTCATAAATTTAATTAACATAATTAAGCTCGTGAATGACATAAATTAACATAATTTATTCATATATTTTAAAAAAATATTTTTACGGGTGTTTATTTAATTTAATTTATTAATTTATATAAATGTAACTTTAGATTAGGAAAATCTGTAAATAGAAATATATTGTCGGGGATGATTGTTTAGCAAAACAATAAAATAACAATAAATTGAAGAAAGTTTATACGAGACGAGTGCCTTGGAGTCATTTCAATCTTACTGAGTGGATTTTTTTTTTTTTTTTTTTTGTGTGTGTGTACACTGGACCAACATGTTATCTTTTGCATTAAGGTCACTTACTTGTTCCGTATTTTATTCGATCATTTCGGTATAGGCAATGACAGAAAAGCGATGGTTGTTTGGATTATGCTTGGACATGTTGGGAAATCAAGCGAAAACATGTAGTCTATTGTATCTCATGCAAGTACAGATCACAATTTCTTTTTATGATGCTGGAAAATTTTCCTTCCATTGTGTTGTTTTCTACATTTGATTATACTCTTAGACACTACAAAACTAGTGATTTCTATGTGAGATGCTCTTTGGATATAGATAATAATTCCAAGAATACACCCTTTTTTTTGGGTAGTTTTATTTCTTATAAATAAAAATTGCTTAGTTTGTTTAAAGCTAATGTAGTATTTAAGTTACGTAGCTTTATAAATATGTATTTTTTTTCCTCTTTTAAATATTGATTGCTGAGATGAAGTTGTAAAAGTCATTCAGCTACTCTTTAATGTCATACAACTCTTCTAACCATCTGGCGATGTCTGATATAGTGAAATCTTGAAAAATTTACTTATTTTTCTACTAAAACACTTACATTAC